TTCAATATTCACGCATATCGGACCATAACTTCCTGAATTATGGCCCCTGATTGTACGAAAAGTCGCGTTTTTAGCTTGTGGACCCTATAGAGGTCACAATTTTTATCCGATTTAAAAAACTCTTTGTATATATCACCATTACACCCTAAGGATGGTTGAGTTCGAATTGCGTAAAATGGCCTCCCCTTGTTCGCAAATAGTGTCAAAATATTGTGTACCAGGGTTGTGGACGTTTATAACCCAAATATCTTGGTTCCTTTCCATTTTCGTACATATCGAATCATATCTTCCTGAATTATGACCCCTGATTGTACGAAAAATCACGTTTTTAGCCTGTGGTCCCTCTAGCGGTCACGATTATTATCTGATTTAAAAAAACGTTCAAATATATCACTGTTACACCATAATGTTTGTTGAGTTCGCCGGACAAACTGGCAAATAGTGTAAACATCTGGTAAATCAAGGTTGTGGACACTCAAGAGGTCACAATTTTGATAAAATTTGAAATACATGTTTATAACCCAAAGATATTGGTTTCTTTTGATATTTGCGCATATCGGATAATAACTTCCTGAATTATGGCCCTTGATTGAACAAAAAAATCACATTTTTAGCTTGTCCCTGTAGAGGTCGCAATTTTTATCTGATTTAATAAAAATATGTGAATATATCACCATTACACACTAAGATCTTGGTTCCTTTTGATACCAGAACTTAACTTCCTGCATTATGGCCCCTGATTGTTCGAAAAATCGCATTTTTAGCTTGCTGATTATCTAAAGGTCACAATTTTTTTCCGATTTTCAAAACTGTTTAAATACATCACCATTCCACCATAATGAAGGTTGAATTCGAATTTCGGGAAATTCCACCATAATGAAACTGCCCGCCGCTCTTTGTACGCAAATTTTGTTGAAGTGTGTAATACGAAGGTTGTGGACCCTCTAGAGGTCAAAATTTTTATCCCAAAGAGCTCAGTCCCTTTTGATATTTGCACATTTCAGGCCATAACTTTCTGGATTATTGCCCCTGATTGTAAAAAAAATCGCGTTAGTCTTTAGCTAGTTCTCTATCCGTCTCTTGCAAAATGTGGCCGTATCCTGCCTGGCAGCCGCTGGTGTGGTATCTGTATGACCGTATGGGTTTATTCTGTTTGTTGATTTGAATCAAATATCATAATTTTAAAAACATTACAAATAAGAATCATTTGAATAAAATATCTCTTTTTAAGGCTAAAAATACAGTTTTTGCCCAAATGATGTCATTTCTTGTGACAGTGAAAATGTTCAATTGGTTGGACCTAGTCAAAATTGACATAAGGCATCAAATGGTAAAAAATAAATTGAAAATCGAATAATAATTGACTCCTTTACAGGCAAAATAACGTGAAAAGTGACGCATGCAAAATTATCCATTTCTCGGTAACTGCTCATGTCATAAACTAATTTTCACATACATTCTCTTCGTATGGATTATTGCTACAAGTTTATGAAAGTTACGAATAAATATTTTGAAATATGAAGAAGCTGAATGGGTTGTAAATAGATTAATTTTACAGCTTTTTTCACCTTTTAATCTAAATAGCCCGAAAACGAAATCGTAATTAAAAAAACTTAGTCCAATGTTTTGTGCGCCTTTTATGGCGCATCCTTTTCGTAATATCAAATTTTGAAAAAATAATATTTTCTTTAAAAAAGTGGTACCGAACTGTCAAAATTATAGTTTTTGTTAAAATTATGTCACTGAAGGTGCCAACAGGAAACTTTATCAGTAACAAAAAAATGACATTTTGGAAAAAGGAGCATATGAGCTTTGTTTTAAACAAATCGAGCAATAAATAATCAATCTAGGAGCGAAAAACTGAATTGTCCAATGGCTGCTAAGGAAAATTATCTAGACCAAAATTGTTGACATTTTTGCTCAAATCAGATGACCCTTTAGCCCTGGGTAAAATACCATAAAAAATATTCATCAATAAAAATGTTTTTTGTAAGAATTTAAATGTTCAAAATTTGGCACCTAATATATTTGAAGATTCGTTGAAAATGAAAACCTAAAGAACCGTAGCTATGTGCCTTGTCTCTGGCTATGTCAAAAGTATCAAATGTTAAAATCTGGCAATTAACATTATGGCAATATTTAAAAAAACAACAACTTCGGTGATTTGGGACAATTTGCATTGTCACAGAACATTCAAAATAGCTTAAAACTCTAAGTCACACCCACTTTTCGTATAAAACCGAAGAAATTGGATCAATCCGACAAGTAGTTTTTGAGATATGATCAAAATGGAAAAAAAAATAAATAATAAGAACTAGATCTGCGAGGCAAATATGAAAGCTTTCATATTCATGGTCACTCCCTGTCACATGTCATGGGTCATATAAAGAATCTGAACAAGCAAAAATAACCATTAAAATTGATCGAAAGTCGTGATGTTAATGCGATTTTTCACTCGTAAAAAAAACTTTTGCCGGCACGAAAAACGTCAAATGCAAAATCGAAATTGTGACATTTTCAAATACCAAAATTTCGACCTTGATCCCGGCTATCCGAAAATGTATTCATATTTTGTGTACACATCAGTACTTTCTTAGCAAGTAGAGAAAATAAATTTCAAGGCAATTTCGTCGATTTTTTGAAAACTTTGTTCCTTAATTTCATCAAGGGAGATAATTTAGAAAATTTCTAATGACATCTTTTAAGTCGCATCGGTAAGACCTACTTACATACTAAATTTCATGAAAATCTTGCAACTATTAAAGAAGTTGTCAAGTTGGTCTCAACTTCCGGTTTGAAATCACAGCGACAAATTTTTGAAATCCGAAAATCCGAAATTGTAGATTGGAAGTAAATGTTTCAAGGTACTCAAATAAAAAAGAATTAGTAAAATAAGTCAAATAGTCGCAAAGTTACAGCAATGTAGGTCAAATGCATTCGTTCGTAAAATTCGGTGATTTCGGATGAGTAAAACATTTTGAAAATAAATTCATTCGAAAGCCACCATCCATTCTTGGGGGGATAGTTCAAAGTTTCAATAAAAATAAACATAACAGAATTAAATATTTCAGACAAAGACCGAATAGTAATAATAATAACAAAAGTCAAACATATAGATGTTATGCATATTTGACATCAGTGAAACATACTACAGATTTTGATTAATACAATTAAATATAAATGAATTAGAAATATATACATTATTTGCCTAAATCTTTCAGTAAATGGACAGGAATATGGTTATCTACCCTTATAAAACGAACGCAAAGCTACTGGTTTGTAAACTGTTTTTTGATTGGTTTGTAGACTTTAGCTATAATCAAGGCCAGGGCAGATAATTTGAAATCAGGGGAAACCCTATGGATTAACCCAGGGTATAGAGGAGTAGAATGGAATGAGTACACTGGGGATACCGAGGATGCAGAAAATCGCAAAAGCCTTAGAGATTTTTCAAGTTTCAAGATGGTGACACTTCCAGTTCGATCGATAGACTTCATATTTTGCGAACACATCAGTAATTTCTTAGTTAGTACCAGAAAAACATTTAAAGCCAATCTGACCTATATTTTTTCAATTTTTTTGAAATCTTTGATCCTTTATTTCTCCAAGGGGAGATAATTTATAAAATTTCTAATGACATCGTTCAAGTTGCCTCAGTAAGATCTACTTACATTCCAAATTTCATGAAAGTCGTGCAAATATTAAAGAAGTTTTCAAGTTGGTCTCAATTTCCAGAAATTCAAAAATCTGAAAATGCAGTTGAGAATGATTTTTATCAAAGTACTCAAAGAAAAAAGAATTAGTAAAATAGGTTGAAACAACCCACAAAGTTACGACTCTGCATCATCAGTTTTTTCATTCGTAAAATATATTTTATCAAAACTCACCACCCATTTTTAGGGGGATAAGTCAAAGTTTCAAAAAGATCCTTTGGCTAGTTTCTGAGAAAACAAACACATAAAAAAAATAAGAATAACTAGATCTGCCCGGCAGACATGTACCATATTTTTTCCAGGTATAAGTCTATACTTTTTTCCGCTGAAGCTCGTCCTTCATCTTATACTCCGCTTCGACTTATATACGGATGAAGGTAAGGAAATGACATAACGAAATTTACCGTCGCTCCACGATGCCGCACGCACTATCGTCTAACACAAAACTACTCACACTATTCCAATCGAAATATTTGTAGACGTTTCTTAGCTTGTTTATTTCTTTATTTACCCCCCCACCCCTCCTTCAAATATTATCATCAACCCGAGAATATATGCCATCAAAATAGAATCTTTTCTCTGACATTCGTCAAAATTGGCACGTTTCCATTTCACATAATTCACGTGTCTCGCGAGATTTCTACTTTTAGTTTTGAGTTATTTTATTCTATTTTTAGTAACATACTTTTTAACCACGTGCAATTATAGACAGAGCCTGCATTGTCTTATATTTATCGGGTATATTGAAAAAAAAAACTGGTTCAAATAAACCAAGAACACAACTTGGAATATTAATCAAGTTAGTCCAACATTATTTATAAACTGATTATTTTACATTAATATTGTGGGCCAATTTTTCTTGGCGTACACCGGCACGGTAGGCATATTTGACTAGGATAACAGTCCCAAAACTTGATAATAGATTGCTACTGTGAAGTTGAAAAACATTCATCTTATATACCGCTTGGACTTACATGTATATATGGATGGAGGTCGGAAAAACAGTAAAATATGACGATTCGACTTATACTCCACATCGACTTATACCCTGTAAAATATGTTATTTATGTTGTAATCTCAAAATAATGTAAAGAACAGAAGTTTGATTATAGATACATTTGCAATTCCATCAGAGTTGGTTTAATTGATGTTGGGATGAGGTTTATTATATTAGCAAGTACAGTAAACTAAAAAACAATTAAAATTTTGCCATAGTTTTTAAAATACTATTGACATCACTGATTTTGTTCATTATTTATTACCCAGTATGAATAAAACTGATTTCAGGAATACGCTGATAGAGGTGCTATTATTCAGGAAAATTTGAGTGAAGCTTCTTTAGTAGTTGGTGTAAAACAAGTACCTATAGATGATCTGATGCCTGATAGATCTTACGCTTTCTTCTCACATACTATCAAAGCCCAAGAAGCTAATATGCCATTACTTGATGCTATTATACATAAGGTAAACATCTAAATTCATTTGTTTATCCAATCTGATTAAAAAACAGAAATTATTTCGTGTCATTTTTTATAGTTTAAAATTTTGTTTTACTTGTCTTCACAACACTGGGATCTGGAAGAATTGTTATATAACAGGTGGTCTAGTCGATGTGAGGAATTAGTCAATGAAAGGGTCTGTTACGGCGAGTTCTTGGCGTGCTCTGCACGGAACTGTGGGTAAACCCCAAGAAACGTCAGCACTGATTGATTAATGTATATCTGCCGTCAACGAAATATAGATCTGCATTTTAATCAGATTGTTTGTTCATCTTAAACGATTCTTTTTCTAGTGTATTATAACAAGGAGGATGAAGCTTCGTAGATAGCAGACCAGGGGCCTGTTTCACGAAATTTTAACTGAGATAAAATCCAAATTTTAGTAATTTGATTGGATAATATTAAATTGATTTTAGTGCTTAGCCAATCAAAATTTAAGTATCTACTAAAGTTTGGATTTTATCTTTAGTTAAGATTTCGAGAAACAGGGCCCAGAAATATGGTACCCCTCAGATGGTCTTAAAGCATGAGAGATTCTCAAATTACTTGTCTGAGCACCGCAAATCCTTGAAACTTATTGCAAAAATACCAATACCTCAATTTTTCATGAAAATAACCTGTGACAGAAAAAAAAAAATCTCTCTATAGGTATATTATAGGTATCTCTCAGTGATATACCATCTAGATTATAGTCATCTCAAATGCGGATTTTGCAATTTGAATAGTCAGTCATTATAGATCTGTTTTGGAGGATTTTAAGATTTCCAGAAATTCGGAAAAATATATTAAATTCCAATAGTTTTAATTGACATCAAATAACGAATCCAAATAATCTTTTCAAACAGAATTCAAAACCTTTACAATGGACTTCCCCAGTAAGGATTATCAGTAAATTAGAAGATCGATGTGTTAACTGGAATAATTGAATTATAAGATACTATTAGATTTTATGATATATTGTTTTATATATTATAGAATATTCGTCTAATTGATTATGAGAAGATGGTAGATGATAAAGGCCATCGTGTGGTAGCATTTGGTAAATATGCTGGTGTATCTGGTATGATAAACATTCTACATGGTATGGGTCTACGTCTGTTAGCTCTTGGGCATCATACTCCATTTATGGTAAGCTTTATAAACAAATATCTTCCTATCTTAGCTCTAATACACAATCACCCATATTGATCTCAAATCCTTGAGTTTGACATTCCATTACTTCAGTTTTGCTGTACTTCAGTTTTGCTTGGTGTGAGGGATTAGCCAATGAAACGGTCTGTTGCAGCGAGTTCTTGGTGTGCGGTTAATCAAATGTCTGACGTTATGACCCCTGACGCGAAATCCCACTACAACTGGTCAGATCTTTATTTAGTAGAGGCCATCGAAAGTATAAAAAAAAACCAAAAGGAAATATACATCTGTATTTTAATCAGATTGAAAGATGCTAAAGATGACTCAGTTCACACTGGAGATATGGTACCGCATAGAACAGGGTTTTTGGCACTGGAAAGTATGTGTATAGTTTACTTTCAAAACATAGTTCGATAATTGATAAAAATCGTTTAAGAATTACAAAAATGATTTAGTTAGTACTATGGCTTAGTTTAATGGTAACGGGTTTAGTTTCTCCGAGTGGCGTTATTAATGGACAACCTGTTCACTTATCTACAGCGTTTACTTATTAGACGTGCCGTTCACTTTCCCGAGATACGTTGAAAAATCAACACACGGTTTACTTATCTACGGCTTTTACTTATTGCACGAGCCGTTTACTTTCCCAAGATACTTTGAAAAATCAACACACTGTTAATTTATCTAATGTGTTGAACTATTATATGAACCTTTTAATTTCCCACGAGCCGGTTCATTTTGATTACGATTATTTACATATGATGTACGAATAAAATTTTGTGATATCATCCGATCTTTGTGAAATTTATATGCATTATTTAAATTAAAAACACTTATATGGATATACTACTTCTGAATTTATTAACATGCTACGTTTCGATACACATACAGATATCATTATCAAGCAAATAATGATATTTTACAAAAATGTGGTGCAATATATAGATAACAATTGGAAACAATATAACAGATTAATCATTAATTAAGAATTAACAAGATGAGAGAAGTAATAATATGGATAAACAATTACAAAGGATTAACAAGATGAAAGACTGTAATGTATTGATAACAATTAGAAACGAGTTGAATTTAGCAGATCAAACGAATGATTATAAGAGATTGACTATGTTAACTATGTCAAAACTATGTTAAAAGCTGATGGTAGGATGCAAAAACTAAGAGATGATCCAAATGGTGTTGTATACAAGATAAATTGTGAGTGTAGTGGGGCGTATAATGGCGAAACATCCCGACCGATTTCAGTGAGAACAAAAGAGCATCACACGGCAGTTACAAAACAAGAACATAACAAGTCAGCAATAGCAGAACACATCTACCAAAACCCAAAGCATAAAATCAAATGGGAGAATACAGAAATACTAGCCAGAAATTTATCAACATGGAAAAATGGAATTCTACGAGAAGCGCTAGAAATTCAAAAACATAAGCCAAAATTAAACAGGGACTGAGGTCATTTTCTCCGAAATCTTTGGGTGGATTTATTTAATCTCTAATTAAGGGTGGAGAGAGCACTTCAGCAACCTGCTCAACAGGCCCTCCAGTGTAGACCCCCTCTCTCTTGACCTGATCCCACAAAAGCCTACTGTCCACTGCCTCGACACCCCCCCCACACAATGGATGAAGTCTTGAAGGCGATAAGGCAGACCAGCTCAGGCAAAACCTCCAGAATGGATGGAATCCCAGCAGAGTTGTTCAAATCTGCCGGCCCTGTGACCCTTTCGACTTTTCACACACTCCTCACCAGCATTTCGGAAAAAGAAGAACTGACCAAAGATTTTAGGGATGCCACTGTCATCTCTCCCTATTTAAGAACAAGGGTAGCAAGACTGACTGCGGCAATTACCGGGGGATCTCCCTCCTTTGTATTGGCTCGGATCCTCCTCAATCGATTAGTCGAAAAGCATTTCAGAAGGAAACTTGCCAGAAACACAATGTGGATTTCGCCAAACCGCAGAACACTCTTCTCCGTCCGGCAAGTACAGGAGAAATGACTAGAGCAAAACATGGACTTGTATGCTGTCTTCGTTGACCTCACCAAGGCCTTTGGCACAGTGAACAGGGAGGCCCTTTGGATCATCCTATCCAAATTTGGATGCCCCACATATTCGTCAACCTTCTACGTCAGTTCCATGACCACATCACTGGACAGGTTCTCTCGGGTGAAAAAGTATCAGAGCCTTTCAATATCAGCAACGGCGTCAAACAGGGATGCGTTCTGGCCCCGGTCCTTTTCAACTTCTTTTTCACCTTCATCCTCAACCACGCTATCAGGGACTTGGACCTTGGCGTATACCTATGATACAGACTCGATGGCTCACTATTCGACCTCCGCCGACTGAATTCCAGGACCAAGGTTGTGGAGAAGATCATCCTGGAAGCACTTTTGCTGATGACTGTACTCTCATGGCACACAAAGAGTCTGACCTACAGCTCATCACAGATAAGTTTGCAGAAGCCTCCCGCCTTTTCAGACTCACCATCAGCCTCGGCAAGACAAAGGTACTATTTCAGCCAGCCCCTGCTTCAACTGCCCCCCCCCCTCTATCGCCATGGAGGGCACCCAGCTAAATACAGTGGATGACTTCAGATAACTCGGCAGAACCATCAACAATGATGGCAGCCTGGATAAAGAGATCAATGTCAGGATCTGCAAGGCCAGTCAAGCTCTTGGTCGTCTCCGAGCTCGTGTCCTGAACCAGCACAACATCCAGCTCTATGTAAAAGCTCAAGGTGTACAGAGCCGTCGTCCTCACTAGCCTACTGTATGGATGCGAGACATGGACTGTGTACAAAAGACATTTGAAGCAGCTGGAGAAGTTCTATATGAGAAGCCTGCGGTCAATTATGAATATCCACTGGCAAGATGGGACAACAAACCTCGAGGGCCTGGACAGAGCTAAGATGACCAGCATTGAGGCCATGATACTGAAAGCCCAGCTTAGATGGATTGGTCACGTGATCCGGATGGATGATGACAGGCTTGCCAAAGCAGCTTATGAATGGCAAACTGCTCGGGAAAGTGGAACCAAGGCAGACCACGCAAAAGATTCAAGGATTGTGTGAAGTCCAACATCAAACACTCTTTCATCTTGTTAATCCTTTGTAATTGTTTATCCATATTATTACTTCTCTCATCTTGTTAATTCTTAATTAATGATTAATCTGTTATATGGTTTCCAATTGTTATCTATATATTGCACCACATTTTTGTAAAATATCATTATTTGCTTGATAACGATATCTGTATGTGTATCGAAACGTAGCATGTTAATAAATTCAGAAGTAGTATATCCATATAAGTGTTTTTAATTTGTGAAATCTACTTCTATATGTCTTATAAGGATTATTATTTAAATTAGTGAAACCACAAAGCCTATTGAATTTCAGCAATTTATAATAATTATTTCTAGAGTTATGGCACTTGTTTCACTTTGTTCAACCTTCTTAATGCTTGATTGATGAAAGTTATCATCCAATATGTATGAAATTTATATGCATCGTTTAAATTTTTGAAACAGAGGTCTATTAAATTTCAGCGATTTCCGTCAATAATTTCTAGAGTTATGTGTTCGATCCCTGCATTGGCCGTGAAAGTTCATCGGGATTTTTCGACGTGGTTTTACCCTTGTCAGTGGTGCAGAACGGAGGGCCTGACAAAGACAGCTATCTAGTCCTTTGGATGAGATGAAAAACCGAGGTCCCGTGTATACATTGCAATGCATGTAAAAGATCCCTTGGCAGTTGGAATTCGATATAAAAGTAGGCGATAGTGCCGTTGCCCAGGCAAAATTTCCCTCATAGCATACTGTATGGCGTATGCCCGTCTTCATTAGCCCAATATAGGAGCAGAATATTAGGACGTTAAACCCCATTTCATTTCATTTCTAGAGTTATGGCCTGTGTTTTACTTTGAGAACTTTGTGAACGTTTGACAAAAGTGATCATCCGATCTGTATGAAATTTATATGCATTATTTAAATTAGTAAAACGAAAAAGCCTGTCAAATTTCAACAATTTCTGGAGACTACTTCCAAAGTTGAGACCCTTGTTTCAGTTTGTAGAACCTTGTGAACCTGCAAACGACAAAAACTATAATCTGATCTGTATGGAACTTTCTTGTCAAGGCCCCCAATTACCTACAAAGGAATAAATATGCGACAACCCTTGTTAACCGCTCAGACGATTTAGCTGCTGTGGGCGTATGTTTCGTTGCCTTGCAATCTATCTTTTTTGTTTTCAGCATATAGGACCTAGTCATAATTACAGAAATACAGAAATGGCTAGACAAGCTGTTAGAGATGCTGGATATGAAATAGCTTTAGGTCGTCTTCCAAAATCATTAGGACCATTAACTTTTGTGTTCACTGGTTCAGGTAATGTGTCGCAAGTAAGTATCCTTACAAATTCTATCTTTTAATAGTCCAGTGGATATGTGCTAAAATTGTGTTAATAGCATGAAACTTGGCAGAGATATACTAAAATTTGACTGAAGAACTAGATGACTGGAAAGTTCAGCTACACCAGGCCTTTACGTAAAAGGAGCATTATCACTCTTGCTCTCCTGGGCGTGCCTTGATGTCGGTGGAGGTGCACTTTTTATCGCTCATCTTAATAGTCTAAATTGACTCCCCTCAAAGAAAATAATCAGGAAAAATATACCGGTAACAAAAAATACTGTCGATCTTGACAATCAACTTTATATTAGCTACAATAACAGTCATACCTTAGTGAGAATTGGATGTGGTTCATAATACGAGTATTTAGCACATTTAATGGTAATTTTGATAATCTGGTAAACAAACAAACCAAGCTTGCTGATTATTAATAACAGGTCAAGTAAGTTTCCTTTGTGAAAATAAGCCACATGGCGAATGGAGACATCTTGGCATGGATTGCGAATCTTTGGATTCGCGCTGTCCTCGACACTCAATCCGTACGAAATTCGTACTGATCATACTACGAATTCCAGGTCGATATTAAAATAATAATTGGATCATACATTTGATGGTTTCACTGACCATTTGTTAGTTAAATTTAAATAGTCATTGAATAATTGAATAATCCTCTGATAGTACACTGAGTATTCCAAGAATCAGTCATTAATAATATATTTTTCAGACAGAATCTCGAATGCCGACTCCCGATAACACGTGACATGCATTGGTTGGAATTGGGTCAATAAACCAACATTGTTAGTTTTAAATAGCGTTTATCGTTATGATTTTTTATACACCCACATTTTTATGTGGATGTATATTGTTTCGCCCCTGTCTGTCCGTCCACAATTTGTTTGTGAACACTCACTCTATAGGTCAGAATTTTTATCCGATTTTGACGAAACTTAAAATGCATGTTTATAACCCAAAGATCCTTGCGATATTTGCGCATATCGTATCTTAACTTCCTGAATAATGGTCCTTGATTTTACGTAAAATCACGTTTTTAGCTGGTTGTCCCTCTAGAGGTCACAATTTTTATCTGATTTAAAAAAACGTTTGAATATATCACCGCTACACACCCTAATGATGGTTGAGTTTGCATTTCGTGAAAATCGGACCAAAATTGATGGACAAAATGGCCGCCCCTCGTACGCAAATAGTGTAAATATATGGTATATCATGGTTGTGGACCCTCTAGAGCACACAATTTTGATCCGATTTTGATGAAACTTTAAATTTATGTTTATATCACAAAGATCTTGGTTCATTTCGATAAGTTGGTAAGATGCTGGCTCGCTAGCCTGGAGGTCGGGTGTTCGATCCCTGCATTGGCCGAGAATGTACATACAGATTTTTCGGCGTGGTTTCCCCTTGTCAGTGATGCAGGACGGAGGGCCTGACAAGGACAGCTGTCTAGTCGTTCGGAAGGGACGAATAACCGAGGTCCCGTGTGCAAATTGGTGTGCACATGAAAGATGGCTGCTTCTAGTACGCAAATAGTGTAAAAGTATGTATTACCAAGGTTGTGGACACTCTAGAAGTCACAATTTTTATCTGATTTTGATGAAACTAGAACTGTATGATTATAATCTAAAGATCTTGGTTCCTCTCATATTTGGGCATATAGGACTGTAACTTCCTGGATTATGGCCCCTGATTGTACGAAAAATCAAGTTTTTATACGCCAACATTGTCGTCGCCCCTGTCCATCTGGACGTCCGTCCACAATTTGTTTGTGGACACTCTACAGGTCACATTTGATCTCGGTTCATTTTGATACTATTCTGTATCGGACCATAACTTCATTGATTATGACCCCAGATTGTACGAAAAATCACGTTTTTAGCTTGTGGACACCGTACAGGTCGCAATTTTGATCCGATATTGATAAAACTTGAAATGCATGTTTATAACCCAAATATCTTGTTTCCTTTTGATGTTCGCGCATATCTGATCGTAACTTCCTTAATTCTGGCCCCTGATTGTAAGAAAAATCACATTTTTAGCTTGTGGTTCATCTACCTCTAGAGGTTACAATTTTTATCCGATTTAAAAACATGTTTTAGTATTTCACCGTTAAACCCCAATTTTGGTTGAGTTCGAATTTGTCAAAACCAGACCAAAACTGACGGACAAAATTGCCGCCCCTCGTACGCAGTTTTTATCCGATTTGGATGAAACTTTAAATATATGTTTTTATCATAAAGATCTTGGTTCCTTTTGATAATCACACATATCCGAAAGTAACTTCCTGGATTATGGCCCCTGATTGGTCAAAAAATTGCATTTTTAGCTTGTGGATTCTCAAGGGGTCACAATTTTTTTTTCCGATTTTAAAAACCATTTAGATATATCACCATTCCACCATAATGAATGTTGAATTGGAATTTCTGGAAAATCGAAATGAAAGTGCCCAATAAAATGGCCGCTCTTTGTACGCAAATTGTGTATAAGTATGTAATATAAAGGTTATGGACCCACTAGAGGTCACAATTTTTATACGCCCACATTTTCATATGTACGCATATTGTCGTCGCCCCTGTCCGTCCGTCCACAAATGTGTGTGGACCCTCTAGAGGTCACAATTTTTATACGCCCACATTTTCATGTGGACGTATATTGTCGTCGCCCATGTCCGTCCGGACGTCCACAATTTGTTTGTGGACACTCTACAGGTCACAATCCGATTTTGACGAAACTTGAAATATAGGTTTATCTCCAAAAGATCTCGGCTGCTTTCGATATTGGCATGTATCGGATCGAAACTTCATAGATTATGGCTCCTGTTTGTACGAAAAATCACGTGGACCCTATAGAGGTCACAATTTTTATCCGATTTTGTTGAAACTTAAAATGCAAGTTTATAACCCAAAGATCTCAGTTCCTTTCGATATTCGTAACTTCCTGAATTATGGCCCTAGATTTTATGAAAAATCACGTTTTTAGCTTTTGGACTCTATAGATGTCATAATTTTTATCCGATTTAAAAAAACGTATTATTATATCACCGTTACACCCTAAGGACGGCTGAGTTGAATTTCGTGAAAATGACAGACAAAATGGCCGCCGTTCGTTCTCAAATAGCGTTAAATATGGTATATCAAGGTTGTGGACCCTATAGAGGTCACAATTTTTATCCGATTTTGTTGAAACTTGAAATGTAAGTTTATAACCCAAAGATCTCGGTTCCTTTCGATATTTGTGCATATCGGACTGTAACTTCATGAATTATGGCCCCTGATTGTTTGAAAAATTACGTATTTAGCTTGTGGACCCTAAAGAGGTCATAATTTTTATCCGAATTAAAAAAACGTATTATTATATCACCTTTACACCATAAGGATGGCTGAGTTTGAATTTTCGTGAAACTCGGCCTAAAACTGACAGACAAAATGGCCGCCCTTCGTTCTCAAATAGCTTAAAAATATGGTATATCAAGGTTGTGGACCCTATAGAGGTCACAATTTTTATCCGAAGATCTCGGTTCCTTTCGATATTTGCGCATATCGGACCGTAACTTCCGGAATTATGGCCCCTGATTGTACGAAAAATCGCGTTTTTAGCTTGTGGACCCTATAGAGGTCATAATTTTTATCCGATTTAAAAAACTGTATTATTTCATCACCGTTACACCCTAAGGGTGAATGAGTTCGAATTTCATGAAAATCGACACAAAATTGACAGACAAAATGGCCGCCGTTCGTTCTCAAATAGCGTAAAAATATGGTATATCAAGGTTGTGGACCCTATAGAGGTCACAATTTTTATCCGATTTTGTTGAAACTTGAAATGTAAGTTTATAACTCAAAGATCTCGGTTCCTTTCGATATTCGCGCATATCGGACCGTAACTTCCTGAATTATGGCCACTTATTGTACGAAAAATCGCGTTTTTAGCTTGTGGATCCTATAGAGGTCATAATTTTTATCCGATTTAAAAAAACGTATTATTATATCACCATTACACCCTAAGGACGAATGAGTTCGAATTTCATGAAAATCGGCCTAAATTGACAGACAAAATGTAAGTTTATAACACAAAGATCTCGGTTCCTTTCGATATTTGCGCATATCGAATTGTAATTTCCTGAATTATGGCCCTTGATTGTAGGAAAAATCACTTTCTTCTTAGCTTGATCTCTATCCATCTCTCGAAAATGTGGGCGTATCCTGCCTGGCAGCCGCTGGTTATCTAATTTAAAAAAACGTTTTAGTATATCACTGTTACATCCTAAGGATGGTTGAGTTCGAATTTCATGAAATTTGGCCCAAAACTGACAGACAAAATGGCCGCCCTTCGTTCTCAAATAGCATAAAAATATGGTATATCAAGGTTGTGGACCCTCTAGAGGTCACATTTCTTCTGATTTTGATGAAACTTGAAATGTAAGTTTATAACCCAAATGTCTCGGTTCCTGTTGATATTCGCACATATTGTACCGTAACTTTCTGAATTATGGCCCCTGATTGTACGAAAAATCGTGTTTTTAGCTTGTGGACCCTATAGCGGTCATAATTTTTATCCGATTTAAAAAGACTTTTGAATATATCATCATTACTTCCTTAGGATGGTTGAGTTCATATTTCGTAAAAATTGGACCAAATTTGACAAGACAAAATGGCCGCCTCTCGTACTCAAATTGCGTAAAAATATGGTATATCAATGTTGTGGACCCTTTAGAGGTCACAATTTTCATCTGATTTTGATGAAACTTGAAATGTAAGTTTATAACCCAAAGATCTTGGTTCCTTTCGATATTCGCGGATAGTAACTTCCTGAATTATGGCCCCTTATTGTACGAAAAATCGCATTTTTAGCTTGCTGTCCATGTAGAGGTCACAATTTTTATCTGATTGTACGAAAATCACATTTTTAGCTTCTGGACAATCTAGAGGTTACACCACAATGATGATTGAGTTCGAACTTAATGAAAATCGGACCAAAACTG